ATCCTACCCCAGCTTCTTTTGTTTTCAAGGTGCTGGGAGTTGGTTCAGAAGGCTGCTTGTTATCAGGGTCTCCAAGAAGTTCATGGAAAATGGATATAGTGAAAAAACCATGCAAGGATAGCAAGACTTTTTTTTTTGCATGAACTCATTTTTGGGGTTTTTTGTTTACACTATAGGGCATGCATGTGAACTCACTGAAGACAAAGAGACAGTGAGAAATCATCCCCACAGGGATGGCCATGCCACTTCTCCATTCTCCTGAGGATTATGGGCGTGCACATCCATATGCCTGGCATGTTTTTCAAGCCACTGGGTCCGAAACTCAAACCACAAGGACAGCTATATGGAATCCAGTGCCTTAACATCCATAGTACCTACTTACCCATAAATTCAAATTCTAGGTCCATTTTTCCATGTACTTTTTAAGATTTTGCCAAACGGTGTGTGTGCTCGCCAGAGACAGAGACAAAGAGAGGAAAATGAGAAATCACTTCCCGAGGGATGGCCAGACCACAACCCCTTTTCTTGCATTCTCCTCCTCGGATTTGGGGCATACATGCCCACACACCCAGCAAGATTTCCAAGCCACCAGGTCCAGGACTTGAACCACGGTCAGCAGTCTAGCACCTTAACCACTGCACTACCTATAGGCCCCTTCCATGAACATTTTGAAGCTGCCCCACCCCCACCCCATAGAATATAAAATTAAGAACAAGAGAAAATGGGAGTCTTAAGGCCCAAATCACAAGGACACGTGAGGTGTGGTGAGGTCTGTAAGCTGCCTGTCCCTCCATGGACCAGAGCCCTGTGTGTCTGAGCCACTGTAGGACGCACTGAAGGATTCCCCTCTCCCGGTGTCCTCTTTTTGGTCCCCTGATCCACCGTTCTCTGTGACTCTCTTCTAGGTGAGTCCACGATTCAGTCACTGACACAGGGTTTTCTTGGGGAGTGTGTCTCCCCCTGACAGGGACAGATCCTGAGTTCCAGAAGAACCCCAAGGTGGCAAGAGACAGCCAAATGCTCCGTATTTCTACAACTCTGTTACTGCTGGTGCTCCTAGGTATCAGCCCGAGGTACCAGGGACAGTGTTTCTGTTTTTGCTTTTTAAGATTTTTGCCACAGGGCATATATGCTTACCAGAGAAAGAAAGGGTAAGTGAGAAATCACTTCACGGGAGATGACCACACTGCAATCCCTTCTCCTCCATTCACCTCAGGATTTGGGGCATGCATGCACACACATGTGCCTGGCATGTTCTCAGGCTGCTGGGTCCAAACTTGAACCGTGGAGTCGACTATATGAGATCCAGTACCCTAACCACCATGCCACTGGCTGGCCCCCGGGCACACTCTGAATGACTGCCAGGGCGAGTGGCAGTGCTGCTGGCTGGCACTAGGGAAACCATCCAGGGGAAGCTCAGTCAGATCCCAAGCGATTACACAACAGGACAACTCTCCATCTGACACACACACCCCCTCCAGGCAAGGTCTCTAAAGGCCACTTCCCAGTGCTTGGTCCGTCTCTCTCATTCAAATAGTGGGCAGATGATGACAGAAACAACTTCCAACTTGTTTTTAAACTAGATTTTATTGGTATACAAAACTCCATTTTAAAGATAAAGTGGCACATCTTTGCAGCTTCTATTGCACCAAGTATTGAAGATTAAAAACACAAAAAAGAAACATTTGGTTTTGAAAACACTGCAAATAGCTAAGTACAGTACTTTGGTAAATAAAAAACACAATGGATGAAACCGTCTGTGGGAAGAAACAAAACAGGGGAAATGAACTATGGACATCAGACAGTGGTCACACTTCTCACCCGTGCTCCAGAAGTAAGGCAAGACTTGCTAAGTCTATGGGTTGTGGCCCCATGGAGGTCTCAGGTGTCTCCAGACTGAAGCTAGAACAAGGACAGTGCAATCAGAGGAAGAGAAGGCCCGCTCTCCGCAGTCGTGCACGCTCTCGCCCTCCTTCACGGGGGCCTGCTGTGCACCAGTGCTTCTGGGACAGAAAGAGGAGCGGTGGTGTGAAGCCTGACTCCTGGCCCGCTTCCTTCCCTCCGAGTTCAGTGCTGGTCAAGGACACATGAAAGGCAGTGGGGGAGTGGGGGCCAAGGGCCCCTCCCACCATGGAAAAGGGGCTGTGAGAGTGGGAATGTGCAAGGAGCCAGCTGTGCCCGAGTTTGCTTCAAGCAACTGGCCAGGGACCCACTCACAGGCTGAGGTCTGTGCTAAGTTCCAATGATTGTCATGGATGCTGGCACCAGGACCTGCTGGATGCTGACTGGCAGAGGACTAGAGCCGGACCACATGGTCTTGTGCAGTGAGCGTCACCTGCCGCGACGACTGGCCCAGCGGGAGCAGCTCTGTACCACAGGTACGGCCCACTCACAGTCAGTCACGAGGCCAGCTCGGGCACTGAGGGTACACATTCTTCACACTGGACTCTGTAAGGTGCTAAACATTAACATTTTCATCAAGCTACAGAGTACTCCAAATGAGAGAAGTTAAATGAGAGGCTTGAGAGCAACCACTTAGAAACTGAGGTTTAGAGCCTGATGCTTTTGCAGAAAACAACTCTACCTTGGGATAGAAGAGGGCCAAGCTGTCCACATGGCACAGCCCTTTCCACACCGGGCCTCAGGGGTGTACAGCGCTTACACCTGCATGGCGCACGGTGACTGCGGGCTGTCCGTAAGGCCCAGCCTTTCCACACCCGGCCTCAGGGGCCTACAGCGCTTACACCTGCATGGCGCACGGTGACTGCGGGCTGTCCGTAAGGCACGGCCTTTCCTGGGATCCAGCCTCAGGGCGCACAGCGCTTACACCTGCACAGCTTGTGGTCACTGGTACTTGACATTTCATCTCCACTTTCTAAAAGTTAATGGTTTTCCCCTTTCTAACGTGCGATGGCATATTTGTTACAATTTAAATATGCCATCTAGATTTTCAACAACGTCCATGGAAAAATGAAAATTGCAGTTTACTTTATCAGAAAAGCATACCTGGCACGAAGTACCATTATTACGTCACCTCAGAACAACCGTCAGAAGGCCCCAGAGTTTTAGCAACGCCTGTTCTGAAAGCTGAGCAGAATGAAACTGGCCAAATGGGAACAGCAAAGCAGAAAAGCTCCCTCGACTCTGAGTGGAAAGGTCTGATACAGGTAGTGCTTTGAGGTAAAAGGTGAAGAGTATCTGCCCAAAATGGGAGTCAGAGGGACCGCGGATATGGTGCTGCATGGAGTAATTCCTTTCTCTTCCAATACACAGGGCCCCTTTTAGTCAGGGTGACTTCCAGACAACTCTGACCAGAAATCCAGGTTTCCTTTAACTAACTGGATACTGGAGTTGAACGCCGCTCAGAGGTAAACTGACAGCATTCTGCGTTAACCCAGTAAAACCCAGGCAGAGTGTAGAGCGTCCTCCAATGAGAGGCTGCATGGTGACTGCAGGGACTCGATGCAGTACGGGTCGAGGCCAAGCCCACCGGACACTCGCTACATATACATGTCCACAGCTCCCTCCCCGACTGTGCGTGGCCCTCCTCACCACTGGACAGCCACGTACCACACTGTAGAAGCTCCTCGGGAAGGGCAGGCATTATAATCACCTACAGAAAGGCTCTAAGCCCAGCTCCAGGTGCCCACGGAGCCCCCACTTCACAAGCCCTCAGAACCAAGATGGGGTTGGAAGTGTTTTCAGAACTCATAAAAAAACTATAGACGACTTCGACCAACATTTAAGGTTCTTCTTTGCCACAATTCCTCGACTGGACTCTGCTCCTGAAAGTGTGTTTGTATTATTGAAAAATTTAATATGCATATACATTCTATCTTTCTAATATCTCCTGGTGGCAACTACATTACTTAGAAGTTGTGGTTCTATGTTGTTCTAATATATCTACCTCTCTAGTTTGAATCTGTTGCCACTAGAATGTTACTTCTTATTTTGACTTTAAAAACATCTTGTTAAAAAACCTTTTAAATATGGTTTATAAGGCCAGAGAGCAGCTGTGGCCCACAGCTTCATCTCCTTTCCCCTGGGTCTCAAGACAACCCGTATAACAGAAATCTTCCCCAGCAAAAATACAATGCAGAGGTTAAGACAGACTCAGTTCCCGATACAGAGCTCACATGAGTAAGTGTGCTAGGTAACAGTTACCGGCCACGGTCGTCTCCGAACTGCACAGAATGGGCCTCCTCGGGCTGCAGGTGAAGCCATCTTTAAGAGCACAGAGTCCCCCTTCCCCCTTCCTCACACTTCAGTGAGGCCGGGCAGTGAAGTCTAAGTGCAAACCGCCAGCCAGAAGACATCACTGAAGTTGGATGCATGTACCCCATTCCCAATAATCAACACACTAAACGCAGACCAACTGTAACCGGAAAGCTATGAATGGTAATAAGAGAAAATTACTGAAGCCACTTGATTAGTTTTTAAAACCACTGTTACTGCATCCCAGAAAAGCTAAAGCCTATGATCAGAACTGGGTAATTAATAAATAAATGTTCCCAATATTCTTTAATAACTTTTAGCAGCTTCTAAAATGTCTAAAACCCAACAGGGCTGGCAGCTACCTCCACTAACCAAGTAAATAAAGCAGTTCTATAACTTCCGACAATGGTCTCCTGTAAGCTAGTTCTGCCCCCTAATTCCGACACAATATTGTGTACCAGGACACAATCTTGACCTTTCCAAGAGGACCTGGTCTTCTGCACTCAAGCGTACAAAACAGAGAAGAGACAGTGTTCCTTTAAAAAGCTCAGCTGGCCAGGAACCTCCCGGGGTCGAAAGGCGAGAGAACACAGACCCCCAAGCACTGGATCTGCCCCCGTAGAGTAAGGCAACAGAGACACTTCATTTGTTGGGACTGAGCACTGAGGTCTCAAATTCAGGACCCTGTCATGTGCAGAGGGAAAAATGCTGTGCTGTTTTACAAATCTGCTAAATATTACAACATACTGTACCCAAGGAAGAAGCTCACACCACAGTGTCCGAGGAATAATTCCAGGAAATCACTGATACCCCCAGGTACAAAAAGTCACCAAAGTAAAAAAAAAAAACGAACAATTAGAAGACATCATTAAAACTAAGGAAAGCAAACAGGCTGCTCATAAAGACAATTCAACGAACCCAGGCCCTGCCCAGACAACAGTATGTCAAAACTGACATCTCTCCACGGCCCCAATCTGGGCACTTCAGAATTGTGCAGTCATCCAAAGGCCTCGGCAGTCTAAGTCACTCACAGCTTCAGCCAGGTGGAGTTTCCTCAACATCAAAATCTCACACAGGGCTAGGATAACAAAGAAACGAGTGTAGCATTTTATGGGATTCCATTTCTACTGCGATAAGAAAATTTAGTAACCTATAAGGTCAAGTTACTGTTTGTTTCTCTGAAGGCATCTTTCTAAGCCCAGAATAATAGGGAAGAAAATATCATTTATTTAAAATGTGAACATGACAACAACCTTACCTATTCTTTCCTACTTCTCCTATAAACACAAATAACTAGATTCTTTCTGGACAAAACCCCAGGAACCCTCTGACTTCTCCTTTTACAACTACAGGCTCTACTCCACTCTGCAGAATTCGAGAGCCATACCACAAGCAGTGCCACACCATTTTCCCATTGTCAAGAAACAAGCACCGGAACTCAGCATTTATCGATGTCCCAGCAAAGCCCGGGCCTAATTAACGGGCGCATTCATCATACAGCTTGAGTGCAAATGAGCTCGGAGCACCTGCAGCCCTCTGACGCAACATCAGGATGAGGAAGGAGGGAAATGAAGTTGTTTCATTCCCACCCTGACTACAGGCCAGGGCCCTCGTAGCGTATTTCTTTGGGAAAACAATTCCTGAATTATTTTGAGTAACTTGGATTATTAAATCTAACCTGGAAAATTAAATCTAAATATGTTCCTGAGTTGGAGTTTATTTATAAACTACCCTCTACATTAGTATCTTTTTCAAAATGAAAGAGAAACTAAGGAGACCACTGTTCTGAATTTCTAACAATTATTCTAAACCACTCATGAACAATTACAGAGTAACACTCACCCCCAGTGCGAAGAGACGTTCCCAGGGTCGCTGAACTGATTTTCTGGGCAAATAAAGCCACACTTAAAAAGGTTTTCCCTGACCTATCTATCCACCTCTAACACTCAGTATTTAAAGTTTGTTTTACAGAGTAAGAATGGCTTCACTGCACTTTCATGAAACAAAACACATCACTAACAAAACTTTGAACAAAAACGAGGCAGCCCGAAGAGAACTAACTCTGTGAGCCTGTGTGTGGGTGTTGTGGCTGTGTCCCGTCTGTGAGAGGCTGGCCCCTGGAAAGTGATACTCAGCACTCCATTTTCCATCCGCTTCTCGTGGCTCCCAGGGGCGGTCAGATGTTGAGGGCGGCGAAGGTCTTCACCAAGGTGACCTGCGCGTTCCCATCTGCTTCACTCCTGTTGTTGTCCCTGGGGCTGCCCCTGCTCTCCAGGGCTCTGTGGCGGTGCCTCTCCTCCTGCCGTTTCTTCCTTTCCAGCCGCTGCTGCTCTCTCCTCTGTTTGTTTGTGACCTACAGGAGAAGGCGCTGGGCTGAGTGGGCAGGCAGCTCACTCAGGCCGCCACCTGCTGGAGGAGGTGCGGGGCTGACAGACGCAAAGGGCACGGGCTGCTTCTCAGGCTGCTGAGAAGCAGCCTGAGAGACTAATCATGGCTTACTTTGCACCATGGCTGAAATTCACATGTAAGTCTCAATCCTCCTTGCTGCGCTAACAAAATCATTCTGTTCTCCTCATGAACCGATTCAAAATGACCTGAAGAAACGTTAACCCTAATCCAGCAAGAGGCAATGGTGCACCGTGCCAGAAGACACCTTTCTCTATGTAAATTAATGTCCAGGTAATTCTACCCAAATCTGCAGAAGTTTACCGCATCTTTGCCTCTGCCTGTGGCTTCTTATATTATGTGGCAGTGTGAGCACAGAACTTCCTAATAAAGTCTTCAAAATGAGTTCTAATTCAGTAGAATGAATGATGTCATGTACTAGCTGAGAGGGTGAGGGGTGAGGAGGGAGATATACAAACTTTCTGGGAAGCAGCGGACAGATTTATCAAAAAGCCTTAAAAACAATTCACGTACCCATGCCCTTAAACCCGTCACTTTCCCTTTGGGGACTCTGTCCAAGAAAATAATGTAAAAACCAAAGATTCACACACAAAATTTGTTCACTGCAAATGATGGCATTTATGAAAAATGTGGACTAACACGGGTATAAGCTGTGCATACAGTGGTGTTAGGGAAGAAGCAGGCTACGTGTTTGCACGGAGGACAATTTCAGGGTGGACTCTCAACTGTCACTGCACGCCAAACAGGATGAGTGAGGTGTTCGTTCTGCTTCCTGACATGCCTTTATGCATTTCCCAAACCTTCCACAGTAACTAACTACTTCCATGAATCAAAAGAACAACACAACTAAAGTGAATCAAGCCCCCACCCTGCCACAGAATTACGAAGCCCGCCATTGCCTTTCCAACCCCGCCCTTCCTACCTTTGGGAGCTGGTTCTTATTTGCTTTCTTTTCTTCACTTGGGCTGGCCCGTGCCTTATTGTTTTCGGTCCTCCCTTCGTGTAAGCTCTGATTTCCAAAGATTCGGGTGCCACTGCCACCCTCCTCCCATAAAGGGCCACACTGCTTCAGCACTCGGCCACTGGGCTCCAGGGTCTCCTCTGCATCTTCCAAAGAAAGAAAGATCTCTTGTTAAAGCTAAGAATCAAAGATATTTCCATGTGTGATTACTGTGCTAAATGACTCAAAGTACCTGCGTTCCTTGAGACAAAACTGTAATATCAAGTCAATACAGTGGGAAAGAGAAGGGGGAAAAGATTGGTATAATTTAGAAGAGAAATTTTAAAATCATCTATTGATCAGCCTCAAGATCAGCTCCCCACCAGGAAAGTTGTTTCATTAATTAGATAAAGCACTTTTTTTTTTTGAGAGGCTTTTGCTATAGGGCGCATGCGCTCGCCAGAAAGACAGAGAGACAGAAAGCGAGAAATCACCCCGCAGGGGGATGGCCACGCCACAATCCCTTCTCCTCCATTTTCCTCTCGGGATCTTGGGCACGCACATATACTGGGTGTGAGTTTAAGGCACTGGGTCCAGAACTCGAACCACGGTCAACTACATGGGAGTCCAACGACATAGCCATTATGCCAGCTGCTGGGTCCTGAAAAACCACTTTTTAACATGAATTTTTAGGGAGAAATCTTCCATATACACCTATAACCCAGAAAAGAAACAGGCTCTAAAGCTGTGCTGTCCAAGACAGCAGCCACCAGGTACAAATGGCTCTGTACATTAAAATTTAAAAAAATGTAAAATGTAGCTCTCAGGCTCACTATCCACAAGTCATCCATGTGCCAACCTGAACAGCACAGAGCCTGGGTAGTGCTGTTTAAAGTCACAAAGACCAGGGCCAGCAGGTGGCGTGGTGGTGAAGGTGATGGATTCCCTCATAGCTGACAGTGGTTCAAGTTCTGGACCTGGCGAATTAAAAACCAAACCAAGGGCATGTGCATGCATGCCCAAATCCCAAGAGGAGAATGGAGGAGGAGGGACTGTGGTGTGGTCATCCTCTCTGGGGGTGATTTCTCACTTTCCCTCTCTGTCTCTCTCCAGCGAGCATACACACCCTATGACAAAACCTAAAAAAAGGTCACAACGGCCAAGCCACTTACAGCTTTAAAGAAGACACAGCAAATACATAAATAACAAAATACTCATTCACATGGAGAACTAAAATGCCAGGAACAATATATGGCACATAATATCTGAAAATAAGGATTTATTGAAATCATTTTAAATAAATGACTTGAAAAAATAGTAAGATATCATGTCTTTTACTTTTCACATAATTAAACTCAGTTCAAGTTAAAAGGAAAAATTCTGAATTATCATTGGTTAATAAGTGTCAATACTCTAAACATTTCTATCAGATAAACACGTATTTATCTCTCCATTTTACTTCAGTTATGATTTTGGTCTTCTAAGGGAATCTTCTTCTAAAAGGACAGACTTCCTTGACACTCCCTCTCCCCAGCACGCTGTAACCCTACCCCGTTCAGTATTATGATGCCAGTTTACCTACCTGTGCCCACCGTCTCGCAAACTACACTCTTCCTGACACACAGCTGGAACCTAGTTAAAAAAAAAAAAAAAAAAGAAAAAAGAAAAAAGCCTGCCTGTAGAAGGCACTCACTAGGGACTAGAAGGTGGCATGGAGGTTAAGGTGGTTGGATCCCACATGGCCAGTTGCATAGCTCAAGTCTTGGCTTGAAAAACAAGCCAAGTACCAGTGCCCGAAATTCCAAGAGGAGAACATATTGTAATATGGGCATTCCCCCCGGGGGAGGGGGGATGGTGACTCTTCTCTCTCTGTATCCCTTAGCACACATGCCCTATAGCAAAAAAAAAAAAAAAAAAAACTTTTTAACAAAAGGCATTCAATTAACAACTGCTTCATGAATAAATGGCAATATGTTATAAACTGTGACTTGATTAAAAATATTTGGAAAATCACTAACACAATCATTTTGAAGGCTTATAAGTATCAATCATGGACTTACTATATCTTTTCCCTTGGTTCATCTGAAGCATGGCAATTATTGCAGATTCAATATTATAATTTTCAGCTTCCAGGTTCTGGACTATTAAATTAAAATCCTATCCAAGAAACAAAGAAACAGTTCAAGACTCTGGATATACTTTTCTGTCAGCTCTATTTCAACGATCTGACAAACAAAAGATATAAAAGTGAGAACTGACATGAGGTTTCAAGACCTTTTCCATTGCTAATTTTCAATTTGTTAGTTTTCAATGTTAGCCGCTTGTAATAACTACTTAGTATATATTTACAAATGAACTCCCTTTATAAAAACTGCACTTTTACTACTGTAAACACTTGTCAGAAAAAATTTAACTCACATACTTCCTTAGGTTTTTGAGCAGTATTGGGTAAAGTCTTGCACACAAGAGGAGGAAAACAAGCAGGTCTCATCAAGTCCTATCACATAACCTAATCAAAGTACAAATGCGGGAGCCTATTCCAGCCCACCAGATGGCATGCTCAAGTGGCACCACCACACTAGCAGATCAACTAGGCACACAGTGCTGCTTTACGCATCATTACCGCATGATGAAATAAATACTAACTGAACATCCAGTCGCATTGCAAACTTTCTGGACAGCATCTTCCACTTCATCCCTCAAGTCGTCTTCTATATCAGCTCCCTTTGACTTGATCTTTTCTCTTCTATTTGACTCATCTTGATGAAGCATCTGAAACTAAAGGAAACAGAAATAGTCATGGGATTCCAGCAAACCATGTTCAGAATCTTTAACACAGGAAGACACTGTAATCTCGAAACATTCAAACGTATATGGGAAAAGATTAGAAGCAGGGCTGGCCCATAGGACAGCAGTTAACCGCATAGAAAGCAGGATCCCTGGTTTGGATCTCAGCCCCAGTGGCCCAAAAAACATGCCAGCCATATGTGCACCCATGCCCAAAGTCCTGATGGGATGGAGAAATGGAGGAAAACAACTGAGCACGAACACACCCCACTGGGGGATGTGTCTGCTCTCCCTGGCAAGAGCACATGCCCACTGGCAATTTACAAAAAAAAAAAAATCTAAAAACAATCTTGAGAGAATACCAATGACAATGACTAAGCTAAATTTCATCCACACATTGAGAGTCCAGGCCATGACCAAAGAATTTATTTTGATTTTTTTAGATGTTTGCCATAGGGTGTGTGCACTCACTGTAGAGAGAGAGAATGAAAGAGAAAGGGCAAAAGTGAGAAGCCTCACTCAAGGATGGCCATGCCACAATCCCTCTTCCTCCATTCTCGTCTCAGGATTTTGGGCACACAGACACAGGCACCCAGTGTGTTTCTCTCTCTCTCTCTCTCTCTCTCTCTCTCTCTCTCTCTTAAAAAAAAGAGAGAGAGATGTGTTATAAAGCACATGCACTCACTGGAGAGACAGAGAGAAAGAGGGAGAGACAGAAAGCAAGAAATCATCCCCCAGAGTAGGGTGGTCATGCTGCAATCCTTTCTCCATTCTCTCAGGATGTTGGGCACACATGCCTGGTGTGAATTTTAAGCCGCTGGGTCCGGGACACTAACTGCAGTTATGGTTCTGGATGTGGGAGTAAAGTGACATAAGCATTATGCCATCTGCTGGCCCCTGCAGTGGTTTTTTTTTCAAGCCACCGGCTCTAGGACACTAGGACATGAACCGAACCACGGAGTCAGACATATGGGATCCAGCACTTTGACTCCCACACGACTTACTGGCCCAACAGAAGAATGACTTAAAAGGCCCGTGACACAGAATGAACTGGTCAGTAAGAATGGCGTGAGAGCTCCTGTGGTTTCTAGCTACCAACACTTTGGCAGTGACTGCTGACCTGGCAACACACATCTGTCTCAGCTGATTTCCAGTGTGATGTGCTTGGCAAGTGGATCCTCTACACTCACACCAACGAGCCTCCGTAGAAGAACAATACTTGTCTTGAAGAAACATACAAGTAACTCTCAGCTTGCTCCCAGGCCCTGTATGACCATCAACAAGCTGCAGGGTACTGAAGCTGTGGTCCCATCTGACAGCACAGGAGAGTGCAACTCATCTAACATCAGGGGCGTACGGCCACACTCATGGGAGCCCATCAATCCGAATTCTAAAGCTGAAAAGAGCAGTTCACATGGGGTCTATGAGACCTTTAACATCTAAGCCTGAATGAGAATACCCAAACTCAACCACTTCTACTTCCCATAATTCAAGGAAATAAGTAAGTGAGCAAAGACACATTTTCCAATCTTTGACATGTAAAATTATAACTGTAGTCTAGCAGTGTGCAAACACTCTTTAGAATGTTAATATAAAACAATCTATTATAAAATGTACCTTAACAATTTGGCAATGAGCATAAAGGGCCTTAGACCTCCTAGTTTCACAGCTTTGTAATTTAGCCAAAAGAAATAATATAGAAAGAACGCTGGTACCAAACAGTGGTGCAGTGGTAAAATACCAAGCTATACAAGGCAATCCCACCTGGAAAGGTTCCTAGTTCACGTGGTGAGACCTCCCTGAACACGCTAGGCACACAGATGTGCCCATAATTTAGAGCTAGCAGAAGGCTGGGGGTGTGGGGGAGTGACAGCATCAAAACCCTATTGAGGGTGTTGTTTGTCTCTCTCTCTCTCATTTATGGAATAAATAATAAAGCTTAAAAATATATAGAGAAAGAATTTATGAATATGTGCTCATTAACAGTGTTATAGTAATGAATAAGTGGAAACAACCAAAGGATTTACAGTACGAGTATGGCTAAATAACCACTGTAAATTCTAGACTGTTATCTTCATTCCTGTTACAATAAGGAACACAATAAGGATTTCACTATCACCGTTATTATTTAATATTTTATAGGTAACAACCAAGATATAGAATTTACAATTGGGAACCAGCAGTTAGCGTAATGGCTATGTTGCTGGACTCCCACGTAATCGACCACGGTTCACGTCCCAGACCTGGTGGCTTAGAACTCACGCCGGGCACGTGTGCGTGCGTGCCCAAGATCCCGAGAGGAGAATGGAGGAGAAGGGATTGCGGCGTGACCATCCCCCCTGGGGGGTGATTTCTCACTTTCTGTCTCTAATGTCTCTCTCTGTCTGTCTGGCGAGCGCAAGCGCCCTATAGCGAAAATCTCTCAAAAAAAAAAAAAAAAAAAAATTTAAAATTACCCTTTTTTTTGGGGGGGAGGGGTTTTTGCTATAGGGCATGTGCTCTCCAGAGAGACAGAGAGATAGAAAGCAAGAAATCACCCCCCCAGGGGGAGATGGCCACACCACAATCCCTTCTCTTCCATTCTCCTGTTGGGATTTTGGGCACACACACCCAGCATGAGTTTAAGCTACCGGGTCCGGGATTCAAACCATGGTCAACATGGGAGTTCAACAACATAGCCATTAAGCCATCTGCTGGTCCCACAATTATAAAATTTTTTAAAAGTAGTAATCACATTTGCAGATGATATAAGCACCTGAAAGCATTAAGAAAATCAACAAAGATTGCTGGCGAATCATATAACATATCTAGTATCCATGCTAGATGACATCTCAAAACTCTAACAACTCAGAAACAGGAAAACAACACTCCCAGTTTAAAAACAGGCAAAGAAGGGCGAACAGTGGTACAGTGGTGGGGCAGATGTACCCACATGAGAGGTCCCAGGTGCATATTCTGGGCCCCCCCTATGCACATTCACCTGTGTGAGAGCCACGCTGGCTGTGGCTGGGGATAGGTCATGGCAAGAAGACCCTGGAAGACTGCCTCCCTCCTTCCTTCCCTCCTACCTGTCTCTCTCCCTTTCTCTTGAAGGAAATAAACTTTAAGAGAAAATCTGACAAAGAACTTGAATTGACATTTCTCCAAAGATATAGAAATAGCCGAAAAGCACATGAAAAGATGTTCAACACTGTTCATCAATGCAGGCCCAGCTGCAAGGGTACAGCACTCTGTATTGCTGGAAGCCGTATGAAACTGGGCTTTGGTTCCCAGGTCAACCTGTACACACAGGCGTGTTATGCCCTTTATCCTGGCTGGCTGGAATGGGGAGGATCATGGCATTAGACCCTTAGAGAGTGTTTGTTTTTCTCTTTCTCTCTCTCAAGAAATAAACTTAATTAAAAAAAAAGAAAGAAAGAAAAAAAGAAAGAACATATAAATCAAAACCACAAAGTAGTAGGATAGCTGTTAAAGAAAAAAGAAGTGCTGGGGAGAATGTGGAGAAAGTAGAGCCCTCATATATTGATGGTGGTAATGTAAAACAGTTGGTGTTGAGGTTTGGCAGCTGCTCAAAAAGTTAAACTTAGAAATATCGTCTGATCTGGCATAAATATAAGAAATCAAAATCTTTCTCAAAAATATTAACAACAGATCAGACCATGCAGAAGAATTTCTGAGCTTGAAGATAATACCTCCAAAATAGTCTAAGTCATAAAATAGAATTAAAAAATAACCATTAACCGGTCTCCAGGGGCCGGGACCTGAGAACTGCCAGATACCATTACCATATGAAATTAAGCATGGCAGAAGAAGAGGATTATATGTCTGATTCCTTCATTAATGTCCAAGATGATATCAGACCAGAATTGCCAATGCTGAGGCAAATCCGAGAAGCCCGTCGAAAAGAAGAAAAACAACAGGAAGCTAATTTGAAAAATAGGCAGAAGAGTTTAAAAGAGAAAGAACAAGAGAGACGTGACATTGGATTGAAGAATGCACTCGGCTGTGAAAACAAAGCGTTTGCTTTGCTCCAAAAGATGGGATATAAAAGCAGTCAGGCTCTCGGCAAGAGTGGAGATGGTATTGTTGAACCGATTCCTCTAAATGTCAAAACAGGGAAAAGTGGTATTGGTCATGAGACATTATTAAAACGGAAAGCAGAGGAAAGATTAGAAAGCTACAGAAGAAAGATTCACATGAAAAACCAAGCTGAAGAGAAAGCTGCAGAGCAGTTTTGAATGTGACTTAAAAATAAGCAAGATGAAATGAAGCTAGAAGGAGATCTTAGAAGAAGCCAGCGAGCCTGTCAACAGTTAGATGCCCAGAAGAATATTCAGGTTCCCAAAGAGGCATGGTACTGGTTGAAACTTGAAGAGGAGACTGAAGAAGAGGAAGAGGAAGAAAAAGAACAGGATGAAGATGACTGTAACAGTGAAGAGTTAAGTGTACTAGAAAAATTACAGATATTGACTAGTTACTTAAGAGAAGAACATCTGTATTGTATTTGAACAGCGTATGAAGATAAAGAAGAACTATCTTTGAATTGCCCAGGACCAACTTCTGCAGATCATGACTGAGAGATTCCCAAAAAAGTGGAAATGTAAACCATGTTACTGTCTCCTAGAAACAGACAGTTCAGCAGTTGGAATTCCTAAATTTTTTATTCCAGTAAAGAAAGAGGGCCTTTATATAATGTTTTGTTCTTTATACTTTAAAAGCACTTTGTACAATACTTTAAATATAATTGTTCATTAACTTAAAAAAAAAAAAAAAGAAATTCATGGTCTTTCTGGCAAGCGCAAGTGCCCTATAGCAAAAATCTCCCAAAAAAAAAAAAAAAAAAAGAATTTACAATTACACTTTTTTTTTGGGGGGGAGGGGTTTTTGCTATAGGGCATGTGCTCTCCAGAGAGACAGAGAGATAGAAAGCAAGAAATCACCCCCCCAGGGGGAGATGGCCACACCACAATCCCTTCTCTTCCATTCTCCTG